TTCTGTTGTTTATAGCAGGATAGCCCAGTACTAGTTACTCCATCAAGGCTAGATGCAGAAGACCAACACACTTTTTAAAAAAACCTATATTCCATAACTTCTTTATCTAAAGTCCTAGGGAGATCCAAATCTGAATGGTGGTTTCTACTGATGTTTACTCATGGCATCTTGTTTGCTTGCATGTTTTGTATGTTTGTGTGAGCTTGTCTTTGGTTGAATTTAATCTGGGAGAATCCTGAGGAGTCTAAATTAGGACTGCTTTTGTCCAGAGATTATTTATGTTAGGCTCTAGTAGGTTCTGTGGAGGCAAAATTAATCTGAGAACACAGATTTAATTTTCCTGCTGGGGATTTCTCTGCCCTCTTTGAAAAACATGGCAACTCTGGGGCTATATAAAAGTGAGCATCTGCGTGTGAATTCTCAAGGACCACCATCATCAGCACCACCACCATCATCATCATCCCCATCATCATCACCATCATCCATCTCCAACACCATCACCATCATCATCACCATCATCACCATCACCATCATCAGCATCACCACCATCATCACCATCACCATCATCACCATCCCCATCACCATCATCATCACCATCATCACCATCATCATCACCATCATCATCATCACCACCATCACCATCATCACCATCATCATCATCACCATCATCACCATCATCATCCCCATCATCACCACCATCATCATCACCACCATCACCATCACCATCATCATCACCACATCACCATCATCACCATCATCACCACCAAAATCACCATCACCACCAACACCACCATCACCATCATCACCATCATCATCACCACCATCATCATCACCACCAAAATCACCATCACCACCACCATCACCATCATCATCATCACCATCATCATCACCATCATCATCACCATCACCACCATCATCACCATCATCATCACCACCGAAATCACCATCATCACCACCAACACCACCATCACCATCATCACTATCCCACAGCCACAGTGAAGGAAGACTCATCGCTTTCCAGCAGTCTCTGCCCATCCCTCCCTTTCACTAAGGGTATAGTCACCTTCCAAGGTCCCAGATAAATACAGAGGTCTCAATTTTTGATACCCTCCCTTTATAAGGGCCTCTTATTTTTCTCCTAATTATTAATCCCCCAAATTCTGGATTCCTATTATCAACCTTAGCCACCAGGACCACCCCAGCCTCTTTCTCATTAATGTTCACTGTTTTAGTTTCGGTTCACTGTTCTCTTTATGTGTGTGTGTAACTTCCATGGTTTCATTTACTCCCTTGTGAGCTCAGCAATGCATATACATTGCTTGTTGTAATTAATCTGGGATCTGGTTGAGTGGTAGTGGACAAACATTTTAGGATATTCATTCTGCCATATCGATCATTCCCTTGGAAATAGAAATCCTCCACCTCAGTGACTTCATCTGTGGAAAATGGGGACAATAATCCTGGTTTGTGAGGATTCTTGCAAAGAGCTGAGATGTGTGGAAGGAATGCACTTAGCATAGTGCTTGGCACAGGTAAGCGTGCGTGCAGCCTCCTTAATGACGCAGGAGGTGAGGCAAAAGCACTAACTGGAACACAGTGCACTGTCTACTCCGACAAACATATATTGCTCATTTAGGCCCTCGTTGTACATTGTATGGGTTTGGACAAATATATGATGACCTGTATCCAGCATTAGAATATGATACCGAGTAGTTTCACTGCCCTAAAAATCCTCCGTGTTCCCCTTGTTCATTCCTCCCTCCCCCCAACGCCCTGGCAACCACTGATCGTTTTATTGTCTCCATAGTTTTGTCTTTTCCCGGAGGTCATAGAGCTAGAATCACTCATTATGCAGCCTTTTTCGATTGGCTTCTTTCTTCTAGTAATATGCGTTTAAGGTTCCCTTTCGTCTTTTTGAGGCTGATAGTTCATTTCTGTTTATCACTGATAACATTCCATTGTCCAGATTCCATTGTGTGGACATCTTGGCTGCGTGCGAGTTCTTGCAAGTATGAAGAAAGCTGTATAAACATTGGCGGACAGGTGTTTGTGTGAACATCACTTTTCACTTATTTGGGTAAGTTCAAATAACCTTGGAATCCTATTATTTTTAACTTTTCTAGGCTATTTTGTTTTAATGGGTCTTTTTTCTTTAAAGGTTTATTTATTTATTTTAGAGACAGAGCAGGGGGAGGGGCAGAGGGAGAAGGAGAGAGGGAATCCTCAAGCAGACTCCCCACTCATGGGGCTCGATCTCACAACCCTGAGATCATGATCCGAATTGAAACCAAGAGTCGGACGCTCAACCAACTGAGCCACCCAGGCGCCCCTTAATGTGTCTTTTGTAAGCAGCATATAAGTGGAATTTTTGAAGCTGGGCTGTGGAGAGAGAGGTAAGGAAGCAAATACAGCAAAATATTAATTGGAAAATCTAGGTAGTAGCGTATGCATCTATACAATTCTGTCTCTTTTACTGTGTTTGGAAATTTTTATAGTAAAATGTTGAGACAAAAAGAAACAAAACAAACCCAGGCCCTCTGGAGAGAGTGTGTGTGTGTGTAAGACTGTAAGGGGCCATGACTCTCAGAGGAGAGTCATTGAGAGGCCCCACACCTGGACCCTGGCTCTGCCTTCCAGCCAGCGCTAAGGCATAAGCTCTCTTCTCCTGTTTTCTCTTGGCAGGAGGGTGATCGCGGCATCCAACGGGGTCAGGGCTGTGGAAGGAACCTGCCCAGTGCCTGGCCTGCCGGGTCCTTCAATGGCTGGGTTCACTTTCCGCGCCTGAGAACCACGGGGAAGGTGTTGTGCTTCTGGTCACCAGCAGAGGGCGCACGGAAAGCAAGCGCGTGCTGAAAGTTTCCAAGCCTGCCCTTCCTCCTGGAACATTTGTTATGATGCAAAATTCAGAGTTAAAGCATGCCTCTCCACACTGGGCCCGTGATTCCGGGCCTATAATGTATTATTGGCGGCTGCAGCGGCCTCTGAGCGCTATCTCCCTTCTGCCCGTGGCTACCAGCCCACGTGTGACCCATCCTGGGCTCCTTTGCAAGACCTACTTCTTTATCTGTGTGTCTCCCACTTTATCACCCTGCCCAAGCGCAGGAGGAGTGACAATATGGATGCGCGGTCTCTCCTCCATCACCAGTACCCTCCTCAAAGTGTGGCTTGTTCAGCCTGGCCACCAATGTTCCTAATGGGATTGTCCTGGGAGGTAATGGGACCAGGTGCCCTCTGCATTCTGCCCGTGATGGGTTGAATTGTGTTCCCCCAAAAAGATATGTTGGAGTCCTAAACTCCAGTACCTCAGACGTGACCTTATTTGGAAATAAGGTCATTGTAGATAGAATTAGTTAAGACAAGGTCACTGGGCTGGGCCCTAGTCCAATATGACTGGCTTCCTTATAAAAAGAGGGAATTTGGACACGGACGGGCGCATCCGGAGAATGCCACGTAGAGACAAAGGCATAGGTCAGGGTGATGCATCGATAAGCCAAGGAACCCTAAAAGTCGCAGCAAACTGCTAGAAGCCATGGAGCCCTCAGAAGGAACCAGCCCAACCAACACCTTGATGTCTGGTGTCCAGACTGTGAAGAAGTAGAAATGTCTGTGGCTAAGCCCCCCAGTCTGTGCTACTTTGTTATGGCAGCCCCAGGAAACGAGGGGGCATACTGTCACCGTCAGTCACTCAGGAGTACGCGCTCCATTCGGGATGGCCAGCAGCCATGGCGAGGGGGTGAATCACATGGGGTGCACTTGATTAGGATGGATCTGGAGGTCTCCTCCCCCGGGAGGAGGAGCATAGTCAACGTGGGTCTGTTGGAATTGCCCCGCTGCCTAACGGGGACATCCTAGGGGCAATCTGAGCCAGTAGACGGCCTGCCAAGAACACCTCGGCTCCATAGACTTGTAGTGAACAAGCTCATCCACAAGGGGCACTAGTGAGATCCCACATCAGTGGACTTGCATGTGCCCCACTCCCTGGCATAAGATCACAATTCCTATTTCAGCCCTAGCACCTGCAGGAGCCCCCCACACCCGCCTGCCCCGCCTCGCCCTGGGGGTGGCAGCATTACTAGGTGAACTCTGGGTGTGAACTATGTCCCAGTGTGACCATTCGCTCAAATGCTTTGCCATTCTGGGAGCCCGCGTGAGCCTGGACTGGCCGGGAGACGGGGACGCTTGTCTTCAAAGTCAGCTTCTCTTCTGGCAGCCCCGCCGCTGCTGGAGCCCCCCTTCGGAAGCACGCACACCGGATCCTGCCACTCCGTGGCCCACAGCTCCTCAGGAGCTCTCCTGTTAAAGTCCACAGGATCCTCGCCTTCCACCTCAGCCCGTGCGGTCCCCCAGGCCGTCTGCATGCTGCGCTCCACAGATAACGTGGCTTTGTGTGTGCCCGGCTAGAGAGTCCCCAGAGCAGGAGGTAAACGGCTTTGCTGAAGCCGCTCTTGCTTTGGGGCGCTGCTACCGGAGCCAGGAGAGGGAGGCGTTTGAAGGCCAGGCTCCCGGGGCTCAAGCCCAGGCCCATCACTGCCCGTCAGCGTGACCTTGGGCAAGTCACTTATCATGTCTGCATCTCAGGCTCCTCTCCTGAGCAGGTGAGTCATAAAGATACCCACCACTGGCTGCCGTGAGGGTCAGATTGTTCCAAACACCTCGCACATAGTAAGCGCTCATGTTGGCCTTCACAGCAGGCTCGCCGGAGCTCAGTGAGACGCGGGCCCCCTCACACACCACTCTCTCTGGGACAGTCCTCCACAGGGCCGCGTCTGCCCCATCCCTGCACCCACGGCCCCCACGGCCCACCCCGGGGAAACTCTCCGAGCGGAGCTGGACAGAGACTAATGCTCCTCATACACGTGCAAGGGAGAGAGAGGTTCTACGCGTGTTAGTCCACGGGAGAAAAGTGAGATGGGGACCTCTGAGACATGGAGTGGATTTCTTTTTTTAATACATGTGACTCTTCACAGCTACTGCATTTTAGGCATAAACGGTTTCTCTTTCATTATTACCGACTTTGTGTATTAAATTGTGTGAAATAATCTTCAGTGGGTTGATTTGTACAGACTTCCTCCATATATTTTTTCCTGATAGTAAAACAAGGAGAAAAAAACAATCAGCAAAGGCCTGGTTTCCTAAATATTCTACTTTTTAAATCTATATCTATCTACACACATATATACATACATGTGTACATATATATGCAATACGCACGTGTGTACACTATACACACACATACATGAATACACTGTACATGCACATACATGACTACCCGGTACACATATAGACATGAATACACCACACACACATACATGAATACACCGTACGCACACATACATGAATACACCGTACATGCACATACATGAATACAC